CATTTTTTTTTTTCATTTTTAGAGGATCCATAATAAAATAAAATCTCAGCAAATAAATTATCATTTTCATTATTACATTTTTTTTTTTTCATTTTCAGAGGATCCATAATAAAATAAAATCTCAGCAAATAAATTATCATAAATTATCATCATTGCATTTTTTTTTTTTTTTTTTTTTTTCATATTTAGAGGATCCATAATAAAATAAAATCTCAGCAAATAAATTATCATCCTCATCATTAATTTTTTTTTTTTTTCATTTTCAGAAGATTTTAATAAAATAAAATCTCAGCTAATAAATTGTCATCCTCATCATTACATTTTTATTTTGTATTTTCAGAGGGTCTTAATAAAATAAAATCTCAGCAAATAAATTATCATAATTACATTTTTTTTTTCATCATTTTTGCGATAAGGTACAAGCAGTTTTGAGTTGCAAAAAAATATTTTATGTTGCAATAAAATATTTTATTGTTATTTTTTTTTATATTTTCTTTTCATTGTATTTTGTTTTTTAAAACTTGAATTTTTTTAGTGAAAAAATGTCAAGATATAGAGCTTTTATAACTTCCTCACAGAGTGAAATTATTAGAAAAAGTTTGTCTGATGTTATTAAGAAACCTAATGTAAAAATGAATTCATCAAAAGTCACTGAAACATCTGAAGTAGTTATTAAAAAAAAACTAACAAAGACTGACATAACATCAAAAGAAGCAGTAAAACAAATGACAAAAGAGAATGCAAGCAAATATCTATCAAAGAATAGTAAAACTCATGAAGAATCTTACAAACAAAGTCTTTCTAAAACTAATAAAGTAATGAAAGAACCTCTTAAACCAAGCATATCAAATAACCACAAAAAAGAAGTACTTCAAAATGAAAATGAAATCCAAGGTAATGATAAAAATTAATTATGACGGTTAAGGTGATGATGATAATAATGAAGAGGAGCAGGAGGATTATGAGGATGATAAGAATGTGTCTGATGATGATGATGATGATGATGATGATGATGATGATGATGATGATGATGATGATGATGATGATGATGATGATAATGATGATGATAATGATGATGATGATGATGATGATGATGATGATGATGATGATGGTGGTGGTGGTGGTGGTGGTGGTGGTGGTGATGGTGGTGGTGGTGGTGGTGGTGGTGGTAGTGGTGATGCTTTTAACTGTAACTGACTATTTCGGCGCTTGACAAAAAAAAGAGGCTTTTTTGATTGTAACTGCATCTAAAAACTGTCAGACAGTATAAACAATATTACAATAAAACTTTCAGTTTATCTTAAAAGTTTAATCTTAAACAGCTATGGTAAGGTTTGACATTGGAAATTTGTATTTTTGTTTAAGAGATGGCTACTAATGAACTTTAAAAAATATTTTTTCATAAACCGTTTGAACATACCTATGCTTTTTAAGTCAGAACATTTTCAAAATTTTTAATTTAAATTTGTTTAGATGATGTAATCCAATTACATTATCAAAATATTTTTGATGAGTTCTTTTTTTTAAACTTCATATGATAGGGTAGGTTGAGGTAATATGGGTAGTTGGGGTAATATGGATATATTCAATAAGGTATGCATGGAGTAAGTTATCTATACATATTGTTAAAACAAGAAATTTACCCGTAGTTTACGCACATAGTTAGCTTTTTTTTTTTGCATTAACAATGTTTATATTTAATTTACATGAATAGTTAAATTGTAAAACATGTTATTTTGAAAAAAATATAAAAGACATTACATAAAAACTTTTATCTGCAGATTTCAGTAATATAACGTATGCAAGTATAAGGATGTAAATTTATTAGTTGGACCATGATGTAACAACATACAAAATTTAAATTATAAGCTCTCTAACCAATAATGATAAATAAATGAAAATGTAAAATGCGGTTAAATGGATATATATAAAATATACAAAATCCTACAAACATTATAGAATTTTGTGACATAATCATAAGCAACATGACATTTGTTTATATACTTATGCTCAATTTTGCTTTTTAATATAATATTATGCAGTATTATAATATTATACATTTTTCACTTACGTATAATAGTTTTATATAATGCTACTGAACTATTTACATTAAGATTATAGTTCAAATTTGTTTTTCTTGAATGGCTAGGGTAAAACTTTAATTCCCATTTAAATGTTTTATATTTTATTTTTGTATTCCTTTTTATTTTATAATTAAATTTTATACTTTAGATAATTAAAGTTTGTTTTATGATATTTTAGATAAAATAATAAGACTGAAATAAATTATCATGCCTTGTAAATATCAACACAAGACTAATAGTACATGCAATCACAGCAGATTAATGACTGCTGTATATCTTGTTAAGGAAGGGGAGTCAGTATACAATGTATCAAAGTCTTCTGGAATTCCTATTGGGATATTATACAAATGATCCCATGATCAAATCTAAAGGAATGACATTAAAAGCAGTCGTGGGTTTGTTTTAAGTAGTACTGAGGAAAAATGTTAAGTTGGAGCCTTGATGTACTTAGCTAATAAGGCTTTTTTATAAAATAGAGAAGATATTAAACTGTTGGTTAAATCCTTTATAACATTTACTGGCAAAAAAAAAATCCATTCAAAGATGACAAGCCAGGGAAAGACTGGTGCATGTCTTTTAAAAAAGAATGAAGTGTAGTTCTTGGAATAAAAAAACCTGAACTTTTGACGAAAGCAAGAGCTAATGATCTTTCTCTAAAAACATTGACAGATTTTTTTGAGTTATATGAGAAGACATTAAACAATAATTTATTTGATAGATCACATTGCATGTTTAATTTAATAATTTATTTGATAGATCACATTGCATATTTAATTTAATAATTTATTTGATAGATCACATTGCATATTTAATTTAATAATTTATTTGATAGATCACATTGCATATTTAATTTAATAATTTATTTGATAGATCACATTGCATATTTAATTTAATAATTTATTTGATAGATCACATTGCATATTTAAATTAGATGAAACAGGTTTGCGTACAGATTCTACAGCAGGAAAAATCTTTGTTTGGAAAACAATAAAAACAACCTTATTACATTGCTCCATCTTGTGGTAAATCAATGTATACTGTACTGTTTTGTGGGTCAGCAAATAACCAGTGTCAACCTCTTTTTGTCGTCTTGAAAGCCATCCACCTTATGATGCATGGTGTCAAAATAGACCAGAAAATGTAATATATGGTATTTAACAAAATCAGGTTGGATGGAGAACTATATTTTTGAAAGTTGGATTGACAGCTTTATTATACATGTAAAGGATTATGAAAAGCCTGTGTTGCTGCTGTGTGATGGACACAATAGCCATATAACATATTCTACTGTTAAAATGGCTCTAGACAATCATATAATTTTACTTCCAAATACAAGTCACACATTACAACTTCTTGATGTTAGTTTTTTTGCTCCATTGAAATCTTATTGGAATCCTTTAAAATTGGTTAAGAGAAAGCAGAGATAAAAATGTTGACAAGTCTGTATTTCCAACTTTACTAATAGCTCTTGTCAGTAAGATAAATAAAAAACTCCTAAAAAGTGGTTTTAATGGTAGTGGTCTTTACCCTGTTGACAAAGCAAAACCTATGAAGAAGGTTGTGAATATGCAACCAAAGCGTGAGGAAGTAGATGAGTCTAACAAAAAATAAAACAATGTTTTAAAAAACCTGCAGGGAACAATTGATCCTGTACTTACACCAAGTCAACCTACAATGACAGCACTTGCGAATTACAAAAAAATGCAAAGCACTTAACCAGCTCAAATAAGATGAAATTTTATTAGCACAAGATGTTGTCACAAGGTTGCAAGAAGAAGAGAAGAATAAAGCTGAAAAGAAGACTATCAGTAAGAAAAAGAATACTGCTAGACATAACCAATACAGTTTGACTTTTTAAATACATGAAAAGCAATGGTTTTGATATATGTATCAAATAAATTATGAGTATCCGTATTACCCCACCAGTATAATAATATAGATACATCGAAGGTATTGTTAAAAAAGGATTAGTGAGTTAGTTATTAAAAATATATTTAAGTTCTACTCATTTTGAAGTTATTCTATACACCCTGAATGTTAAGAAAAACAACAAAAGTTTTTGTGGTGGTTGTGTAACTAAAAAAAAACTATATCAAAAAAATATATCAAAAGTTCTATCCATAATACCTCATCCCACCCTATGTTGTTTTTTTTCTGATGATTTCTTTTTTTTAAACGTCATAAGCTGAATGCTTTTTTTTAACGTTTTATGTAGAGTTTTTTTGTTCAAACGTTATATTTTAAGATGAGTTCTTTTTTTAAATGTCAAGATGATGATAAACATTATGTGTTTTTTGATACATAAGACACTTTTTAATATCTTTTTTTTTTTTTAATAATTTGAAAAATTCAAAATGGTTTAAAGTTTCCTTTGCTATAAATAATTGATATAAATTGTACATAATTTATATAATTATTCTTTGTTATGCATAATTTAAACTAAAATAATTATTCTGAGGTCATAAGAGTTTAACTGCTTTGTAGGTTTCTTCTTGAGCTGTCGATATTTAATTATATATAAATAATATGTTAAAAGATAAATTTTCTGGGTTCTATTATTTTATCTTTTAACTATTTAGAAATTTTAAGTTAACGACTTTGAAAAGTAATGCCTCATTTTCTACTCATTTTTTAGTTAAGGTAACTTTTATGGTTCAGCAACTTAGGGTTCAATAACTTAACAAATAACAAAACAATAACAAACAATAACAAAACAATAACAAACAATAACAAAACAATAACAAACAGCAAACAAAAACAAACAATAACAAAACAATAACTAAACAATAACAAAAAGTAATACGTTAGTTCGACTTTGATGATTCAACTTTTTTTTTCTTTTTTTTTCTTTTTTTTGTGTTTTCTTTGTTTTGTATATGTTTTATTTAATAAATTATTAGTTTGCATTTTCTTTAGGGGAGTATTTTGAAGAGTTTATGAAGCTTTTGAAGCGCCAACGTGAACCACCTTTCATATACTCTTCTAGAAATGTTCGGCTTGAAAACATTAACCTAAAAATTTTAAATCCTTCTTTAAGATATAACCAAGCTCAGAGTTTTGTTCCGTTTGGCTTAAATGATTTGCTAATTGAACAACTCAAGAAAAATGGTATCAATAAACCTCTCGAAGTACAACAAAGAAGTCTTCCGGATCTCATTGCAGGTAGAAGCGCAATCATAGAGTCTTCCACGGGAAGTGGGAAAACACTAGCATTCTTGATACCAATTGTAAATGACTTGGGGCCGAGCTCATGCTCAAACATCATTCTTGTACCTACAAGAGAGCTCGCTTCGCAAATTTATAAAGAAATTGTGAAATACATTGACAGTCCTAACTTTGTTTCTAGATACGTAAGCGGCATAGACGACGAACAAGAGCGCAAGCTAAAAAATGCTTTACGCGAGTGTAAAGTGTTAATATCGACACCGAAACGTTTTTTAGAAATTATTGAAGAGAACAGTGGCCACTTTCGTAAAGTCAAGCGTTTGGTTTTAGACGAGGTCGATAAACTTTTGCCATTCACATCTCATTACAGCAAAGCGCAGCGAAAAAGAGTTAGTAAGCCTAAACCAACTGAAAAAATTGTTAACATGATAACACATTATAATAAAAACGTTCAGCTTATTGCTACGTCAGCAACCATATCTCAGAATCTCGTACATGAACTCCAAGATTTAGGATTTCAAAAGAATTGTCCCGTTTTTAAGCTTTATCCTGATCAGTATCGTTACGGACGCGTTCCGGACAATATAAAAAACTTATTTACAATTGTTTCAGGCGATAACTTGGAATCAAAACTCCGTTGGTGCATTAAACTTTTTGAATATCAAAAGTTAACTTCCGTATTACTATTTGTAAGTCGCGAAGAATCTGTGGAAAAAACTGTAGAACTGCTTAAGGATATGGGGTACATGGCTTCAGCTCTTTATAAAGAATTACTCGTGCCTTCATCGCAAACGGTTGATCGTTTTCTTCAAGATTTTAAAACTGGCCTTATCAAATTTGTTGTTTCAAATGAGGAAACAGTTCGAGGCATGGACTTTCCATTTGTAGATACCGTTTACATGACTTACGTTCCTGATTCTCCAGAAGCTTATCTTCACGTAGCTGGTCGCGTCGGTAGGCTTGGTCGCCCAGGCACTGCACTCACGTTCATTAGTGAGGAGAACGAAGCGACTGAATTGAAACACCTTAAACGGAGATATCTATTGCTTGGGATTAAAGGAAAGAGGTTGGAACTAGTATAAAAGATCTGCAAGCAATTATTATTTTTAATGGAACAAATAATTTTAGTAATCTATAATATTTGTTTAACTTTATATTTTGTCCTTTTGAAATACTTCTATATAAAACAATGTTAGCTTTGCTTTAAAAAAAACATCCGAACTAATAAACCTTACTTTTTAATATACCAACTAATTTTTCTGAAAATAGGTGTGTGTAACTTTGCGCGTATTCTATTATTATGCCGAAAAAATAAGGAAAAAGTTGGTTTGTCATTTTTCGCTTTTGTTAATTATTTTCATTTCATCGTTATAAAACTACTTATGTCTTTAGAAAAGTTCGTAGAATCCTCTATGAAAATATTAATAAAATAATTTTTTTAATTTTATTTTATTAAATTATGTTCATCATTATCTATACAAAGTTGCATCGTTTTAAGCCATTTGTCAAACGTTTTTTTATATTCTTATTTAGGTATACTTTTAAAAAAACTCCGTAATATTTATCAGACTTTTTCCGTTATTATGTTACGGAATCCGTTTTCAATAAATGACGCTCTTTTACCTATACTTTTATAACTTTTGAAATAATCACATCATTTTATATAATTTTTTCCGTATTTATGATAAGAAGAAGTTCCGTAACTTTAAATTACGGACTTTAACCTTATATTTTAGTATACCTAAGTAAAGCCTCTAAATTACAGAGCGCCACGATTCTTTTTCACGAGGAGAAATTATACACGTATATAATTTCAAGTTAGAGATTTTAATATATTTATATTTGTTTTACTGGAACTAAGATGCTATATGTTTTAAAAGAAGTGCAATCGCAAAATACTCTCTTTAATTTGGCTTAATGATGCTCTTATAAATAGGTATAGATATTTATTAAAAAAAAGTTCCTTCTGAAAATTTGTTTCCTATTTTATATAGGATTTATAAAGACTATTTCTTATGTATTGAACTTTATAAAGTTCATTTTATTTAGTGTTATGTTTTTATAGTACAGTATATAATTTATACAAAATATATATATATATATATATATATATATATATATATATATATATATATATATATATATATATATATATGTATATATAAATTACTTTAAAAAATAATAAAATTTTAAAATATTTATATAATATTAAATGATTATGGCAGTTACGATTGAACAAATGGAGAAAATGTAAAAAAAAAATATTTAAGGAGTTTAAGAAGGAAACTGGAGACATGATTAAACAGCAAGAAAAAAATGTTTTAAGCATTATAAGTTCGAGCACAAAAAAATTATGCAAGTGTTTGGATAAAGTTGAATCATATATCAGTGAAAATAGTAAGAAAATAAAATCGATAGAAAACTAAAATTACCAACAAATTAAGAGAGATAGAGGATCGATCCCGGCCGAATAATTTGAGAATTGATGGAATTAAAGAAAGCGAAGGTGAAAATTGGAATGACAGCGAAGCAAAGATGAAAAAAATTTTGGAAAATTATTTAGGTCTAAAAGATATTAAAATTGAAAGGGCACATAGAACTGATCATAAAGATTCAGTTAGACCAAGAACTATAATTATAAAACTTCTAAACTTTAAAGATAAAGTAGATATTTTAAAAAAGACCCGAAATCTAAAAGGTAAGAATATCTATATAAATGAAGATTTTTGTGCTGAGACAGTGCAAATTAGGAAGATGCTAAGAGAACAGATGAAATGGGAAGGAGCGGCAGGAAAATTTGCAAGCATTTCATATGATAAACTCGTCATACACGATTGAGCTGCAATGAAAAGTGAAAGTGTAAAATCCTAATATTTAAATATCTATATTTTCTTGATTATTATATTTTACTTTTTTAAAAATGGATGATAATCTTCTATTTAATTTTATGACTGAGAGTGATGATGACTATTTCAATAAAAAAAAAATTCGAAAGTGAGTATTATTCAATCTATGAATCTACTCAATTACTTAGTAAAATAAAAAATAACAATAGTTTTTAAATCTAAACATTAGAAGTATTAATAAAAATTTTGATTATCTAAAATTATTATTGCATGATCTAAACCATGATTTTAAAATTAGTCTTAAGGTGAGTTTCCACTCATCCGTTTTTCTACGGGAAAGGGAAAGGGAACGGAAAAAAAATCACGCGAGCATGCGCAGTTTTCTTTCGGACAAATAAAAACTTTTATTACGCATGCTCACGTGATTATTTTTTCATTTCCTATCCCGTTCCCGATTTTCATCGTCACTCATCCTCATCCGTTTTTCATCCGTCACTCATCCGTTTTTCAACGGGAACGGGATAGGAAAGGAAAAAATTATGACGCGAGCATGCGTAATAAAAGTTTTTATTTGTCCGAAAGAAAACTGCGAATGCTCGCGTGATTATTTTTCCGTTCCCTTTCCCTTTCCCGTAGAAAAACGGATGAGTGGAAACTCACCTTTACGGAAACGTGGTTGAAAAACAATGAAATAAATTCTAATTATAAGCTAAGTAATTACGTGTCAATTTACCAACCACCATGGTAGTGGTTTAAGTATCTTTGTTCACAAATCTATAAACTTTGTTTTGCGTAATGATCTCAACGTTAACGAAATTGATTGCGAGTCGTTATGCATTGAAATAATATAATCAATTCTATTTATAGAAAGACAGCTGGTAGTTTGAAATTATTTAAAACCCATTTGAAAAATTTTTTAACCAAAATTAACATTTCAAAGAAACACGCGTACTTAACTTGTGATTATAATTTAAACTTGTTAAATCATGCTTCAAATGCTAATGTTTAATGGTTTTTAGATACTTTTTATTATATTATATTTTTCTCTTTATCACCCGATAGTAAATTACAGGTAAAATAATATTTAAATAGTCAAACAATAAATTAAAAATCAGCTAAAACAACACGGCTCTTGTAGTTGTTAGCAATAAATGCTTATAAATAGCCGGTTTGTTTTCCACATATTATTGGGACAGAGTTCTAGGAACATTCTCCTCCATTTTAAACGCCTCTCTCTTTTCTTTTAAATTCCAAAACTGAAACGTTTCTTTCAATATTAGCATAATATTAGTTTGTAGCTCTACGATGGGTTGCGTCAATTTAATTTTTTTGCCATTTAACATGCACTGTATGAAATTTAAATCAAGTGTGTTGCATGCATCAAATACTTCGTTTGTAAAGGATTTTTTATTCTGTGTTTCCTGTACTTGATTAATTATCAGTGAGTAACAAGTTTGATTTTTTAGCAGCCTGATAAAAAGATTAACTTTGTTCCTAAGGAGAATAGTTGAGATATCTTTTATTTTAAAAAAAGAATGAAGGTAATTTTTACTGTACTTCGAAATACAGAAAAATGATTTTAAGACTGCTCTTCCAACAGCGTCTATTTTGCTGAGAAAATTAGTATCATATTTACATAGTTCAAGACCATATATAAGCTTCGGCACTGTTAATGTATTGTACAGATGAACAATTGTTGATGGCTGGCAGTAACGAATCCCACTGTCGATTAGAGCTTTTGCAACTAATTGAAACTGAGTTATACGCTCATTTAAATTTTTCTTTCGGAGTGTTGCAATTTTATTTTTGCTGGTATCGTTATCCCATTGAAAACCTAGATGTTTTAATTTATTTTGAAGATATATAGAGACTCCATTAATTTTAACAACGTTGTTAGGAATATAACTTTTTCCAGAAATCAGAAATTCTGTTTTCTCAGTGTTTAGCTTGATAAAGTTTGCTACTCCATATGTTTGATATCTGTTAATCAGTTCCTGCAGACCAGAGATTGTGGGGCTTAGCAAAATTACATCATCTGCGTATGCAATTACACCAGTATAAATTCCATTTATTGTCGATCCTACTTTACATTCTGAGACAATTTCATTTAGGATGCTTTCAGTATAAATGTTATATAAATGTGGCGATAGAATAGACCCTTGTCGCACCCCTTGTGATAGACTGAATTGATTTGAGGTAACACCTTGATAGGATATGTTTGCAGAACCAGAATGATAAAGGGATGATATTGTGTGTACTACAGACAACGGAAGTTTTTTTGGAAATACAGTTTCTCAAATAGCGAATCCCAGTTGCAAGTGTCAAAAGCTTTATTAGCATCTAAACAGCACATATATAAAGGCGTGTTATTGTTTTTATAGTGCATAACAGTTTCGCTCAGTAAAAATTCTGCGTGGAGAGTAGAACTGTTTTTTTTAAAACCAAATTGATGGGAATGGCTATCTGTTATACTAGGACATATTTGTAGTATTAGATACTCTAGAAGTTTAGTAAAGATAGGTAAAATACTAATTCCTCAATAATTATCTGGATTATTAAGAGATTTTTATATGACTTAACAAGTGGAATAATTGTTGAAGTTGATAGATCATTTGGTACTTTTCCATTCGATAGAATACTGTTATAAAATTTAGCGAGCCACAAAAGAAGATTATTATTATGAGAGTTTTTAAGGTGTTCAGCACTTAACCCATAGCTATCTGGGGACTTATTACTATTTAATTGTGAGATGCAATTTATAATATCAGCTGATGTTATGATTAGTGAATTAGGCTCTTTACTTAGAGATGGAATTTGAGAAGGATTATGGTTACGCTTATTCAAAACGATATAATTCCCACAATAAATAAGTCAGCGAGAATAACTAAGACCTCGTCGACGTTACTAGATAAAATATTCACTAATAATTTTCATAATTGCTTAAAATCGGGTATAATCAAAACCGACATAACTGATTATTACCCAAAATTCTTAATTACAGAAAATATAACCCTTAACCGTTCTTTCTCAAAATCGATAATTTTAATGCGACAAATCAATGAAAACTCTTTATTATACTTTCGAAAACTTTTATCTGAAAAAACTGATTGGAATCTTATATTACAATCTCAAGATGCAAACAATGCTTTTGAATTATTTTTGGCACAGTTTTGTAAACTCTTTATAAACTAGGGTTGTTCGCCGAAAAACAAAACTTGCGAAAATTTCGCATCTTTATTTACCGTAATAGAATTGTTATTGCGGAAGTTGCACATGCAAAAATGCACATTCCGTAACGCGCAATACGAAAATATAAAATAGTAAATAAAATTCCGTAATAAAGCATTGCGAAAGAAAACTTGCGAAACAAATCATTTC